GGACAGGCACAAAACAAAGGGAGCTCCTCTTGAGGTGCACACTCAGCTTGAGGAATAAATTGAGAAGATTCTTGACCACCGGGTTCTTGGGATGCATAAGAAGAATAGGCGGACAGAATTTCTGATTCAATGGAAGGGAAAGCCCGAGGCAGATGCGACTTGGGAAAAGGGTGCTTCATGGTGGCAATATGAACAGCAAATTAAGGACTACTTGAAATCAGCCTCGACGAGGGCGTCGAGTTCAACTAGTGGGGGTGGTTTGTTAGCCCGTAATATTGAGACATGACGGATGTCGGGCAGAATCTGTCAAGGGCTTGTACATTGCCCCTTGGCATAGGTTTGTGCGGGTGTTGGCAAGCAGTGTGCGAAGCTGGAAGTGTGTCTAAGTTAGTGCATGGGCTTAGGCAAGTCAGCTAGGCAAGGTGTCTTGAGTGTTGGCAAGGCAACTTGATTGTGGGCAACGACTATGGCAAATGAAGGGGCATGGCACTTGGCTAAGGCATGTGTGCGGATCAGTGAGACAACAAAGTTTGTGACAAGACATGGTCATGAGCTTATAGGCGAGGCATGGTCCGAAGACAAGGCAAGGCAGGAAGACAAAGTGTGGGCAAAAGCTGTGGAACAAGTGTGCAAGTCATGTGACTATAAAGAAATGTGTTGTGCATGTGCTGTGGAAGTTTAGCCATGTGCAATGCACATGTTGCAGTTGGCAAAAATGCTGAACAGGGATTCACTTCGTGGGAAAGTTTGAATTCAAATTATGGCAATGTTGTCATGCTTGTTTTTTGGCTTAGCATGTGCAAGGCACATTGTATAACTGCCTCATATAACTGCCCCTTGTAATCTGCCTATGACAGCGCCTTTTATATGTTGTATTTCGTTGGTTCAAAGGCAAGTAGCATATGTGAGCCTTCCAACTGAGTTCCTTTGTAAATTCTGCGAGAATTGAATAAAGGTTGGATTTTACCCGTATTACTGTGTGTTGCTACGTTTTTACAAGTCTGAAATAATTCTAAGTGTGAAACTGTGTGCGAAAAAAGTAAGGCTGAGTGGCTAAGAGTTTAGCTACTGCCGTGCAGTGTCAATTGTGCTAAAAATTGGCCCTGTAACACTAGCAATCCCATCAATTTCAACCTTTCAACTTCAAGTAGTAATCAAGTTCGGATCTAGAAGTACGGTTAATTGTTTGGCCGAACTTAGTAGCTTTTACTTAAATAATATATTTGTGCTAACAAATATATTAAATATATACAAATATTAAATTTAAAACTCACTTATTACCACTTGAAGTCGTGATCAATTCAAATTCTCATTGAGTAGGCTAACTAAGGAAATAAATTACTTTCTATTTAAAACTCTCATTAAGAGTAAAATCTTGGTGCGGTTTTAAAAAATATTTTTTCGCTTTCTTAAAGTAATACGTTATCCTCGTCAAAATTATTCTATTTGTTCCAAATATGAGGAAATGACAGTTATCCCATGTCTATCAAATAAATATGGTAATGGTCCACTTTAAATGATAGCCATGCAATGTAATTCACTTTTTCTCTCCTGATTAGATGCACTACCAAATTTTAATACTTGCAACTTGCTGGGATTTTTACAGCAACATAGCCAGAGGCGGATCCCGAATTTAAACTTTATGGATTCAACTTTTAAGATTTTTAGTATTAAACCCGGTATATTTTTAAAGTTATGGGTTCATCTACATTATTTGTTGCAATTTTAGAAGATTTTTACATATAAATTTATGCTTTGCATCGAAATTTATGGGTTCAATGGAACCCGTCACTTACGTGCTACATACGCCCCTGAATATAGTCGTCCCTTAAAGCAGGCAATATATATATATATATATATATATATATATATATATATATATATATATATATATATATATATATATATATATAATCAATGTATATTTTTTTATATATTTGATTACCGACTGTAATTATTTTTAGCTCATCGACCAAATATATTAAAAGTGCTACTTTATAACCTCCTTCTTTACAATATTCATTAGACAATTCATGTCAAATAAGTAGTGTGCTTTTTGGTCAGACTCATACCCTGTCACTATGTAAGGGGTTATGGCCACTGCATGCATGCGTTACACAAAATAAGACAGAACTAACTCTTTCGCGTTGGAAAAAAATAAATTAATTCCTTTTTGATATTTGAAACAATTAAATATAATGGACTACAAAAAGTTAAAAAATCAATTAAAGTGGACCGAATAGAATAATACGTACATTATTATTCATCACGTAACAATTTTCTTATTATTTTTCGCCACATGATAACTCCTGCAATTCATTGCATTATAATCTCGACATAACTAGACTATGTACTAAACGATCCTTAACCTTTTTCTTCCTGTTTTCGAGATGATCCTCCATTTCTTCTGCTCCATTCACATGTGAAATTCAGGTTCATGAACCTTATGGTGTATTTTGCATTATAATTAAAGCTCTGCTACATCTGCTATTAATGGCTATATAGTGCTAAGACTGAGATACTCATGCTATTCAATGAGCTTCTAATGCACAGAAGCGGATTCAGAATTTTAGTTCTATGGGTTCAGGACTCATCTTCCAACCACAACAGTATTACCTTGTCTGATTTATTTGTTAAAATATCATGGTATAGCCAATTTTCACACTGGTCAATGAAAAATAGCCAGCGTTTACCAAGTCAATGAAAAATAGCCACTATTTTGCTGCAATAGGGACCGGTCCAGTATAATATACAGGAGTTCTGGTGCATTTGTGTACGAACTCCAGCATATTATGCTGGACCGGTATACTTTGCTAACTCCTGTAAAATTTGCGGGAGACTGGAGCACCAGTGCTCCAAACTCCAGTATATTATACTGGACAATTATACTTGCTGGAACTCCAGTAAAATTTGCGGGCGTATTTTTCCGGATTTTGAACAGTGTTTTCGCTCAGATTTAAAGTGGCTAAATTTCGATGACTTTTGAAACTTGGCTATTTTTCAACTACCAGTGGTAAATCTGGCTATTTTTGAATTTCTCCCGATTTATTTGTTCAAGTTTAGTATTTTCAGCAATTCCAGTGGATTTTACACAGATAAATCCAAGTCTAGACTAAAATTTTAGGCGATTCGGGTTCGGTCGCCCGGATGCATGCAGATGGCGTGGGCTATAGCATATGAAAATCTGAGAATCTGGCTATCTGCATGAATCACCTAAAATTTATTTGAACAGTGTTTTCGCTCAGATTTAAAGTGGCTAAATTTCGATGACTTTTGAAACTTGGCTATTTTTCAACTACCAGTGGTAAATCTGGCTATTTTTGAATTTCTCCCGATTTATTTGTTCAAGTTTAGTATTTTCAGCAATTCCAGTGGATTTTACACAGATAAATCCAAGTCTAGACTAAAATTTTAGGCGATTCGGGTTCGGTCGCCCGGATGCATGCAGATGGCGTGGGCTATAGCATATGAAAATCTGAGAATCAGGCTGAATTCCCATTTTATGGCCCTAAAACGCCAAAAATTAAGGAACGGTCATGGCGAAACGATGACTATAGTTCCTTAGGTCGTTTTTGATGGCCCGACAAAATTTTAGGTGATTCATGCAGATAGCGGGGCTATAGCACACGAAAATCTCGGAATGAGCGGAATTCTAATTTTATGGCCCTAAAACGCCCAAAACCGAGGAACGGTCATGGCGAGGCGATGACTATTGTTCCTTAGGTCGTTTTTTATGGTCCGGCAAAATTTTAGGCTATTCGAGTCCAATCACCCCGATGCATGTAGATGGCGTGGGCTATCACGAAAAATCCAAGTCTAGACTAAAATTTCTGGGTTCATGAACCTTATGTCATTTTGCATTATTATCAAAGCTCTGCAAATCTGCTTCCATTGCTATCATAATATGGTGTTACATGTGACAGTTGTGTTTGCCATTGAGTATTAAAGGCATGTGGCAGTAGCTAGCTATCCTTGCCATTGAGTAGTAAAGGCATGTGAATTCAGAATCCAAGAAAATGAAAAAACTTCTTAATAGGGAATACTTTACCTCTCTTGATAGATTTATCTGATCGTACGCAGCACGCTTGAGTACCTCTGGTTCTAGAAAGCACATGAGTTCGAGCGTTATGTTGAATGTGCGACTGAGACTACACCACGTAAGTACCTGTGCAGAGAAGGCGTTGGTCGGTCCTAGAAAAGGCGGCAATGGCGCGAGGAGTACTTAATAACCGGGCATGCTGCAACATACACCAGGCAACTCTTTCGCTCTATAGGGGTCAGGGGGGAATAGCGCCATAGCATAACTCGATGCAAATCTGAATTAGTTGGGCCAATGAATTTTGAATACCAAATGCCAACTTCCCATGAACAAAATGTCCAATATCATACAAGTGTCAAGTCACTTATGCAACAGTTACTCATCAAACTGAGCAAAAAGGCTTTAAAATAAGACCAGAAATAAGCTGGACATACTATATATCTGCATTACTCAGACAATTCAGTTGCAATATATCTCAGAAAATTACCCTTGTTTCTTGATCTACTCTACAAACAATACTTCACCTAATGGACTCTATTGTGTGTTGTTAGGGGCCCGTTTGGTTCAAGGGATAAGGTTTATTATCTCGATATAAACTTTGGGATTAGATTTATCCCGTATTTAGCTGAAGGTATTAACTAAAGCTGACATTATTTTATACCAAAATCTTGATACTTCATTAGAGGCGGATCCAGAATTTGAAGTTTATGAGTCCCAACAATGACCTCAAGTTAATATACAATAATAATGGGTTCACAGTGAAATATTTATAGATATTTAGTGAAATTTTTTAAATATATATATACAATGTCTAGAGAAAAGCTACTAGGTTTCCGTGAATCTGTATCTCATACTCTGGATCCGCCACTGTCCCACATAAAAGGTGGACAAGTTACCTTTTATGTTGGAACCTAATCTCATGAGAAACCACAAAGAAAAAAAGAAAATAAGAAACCACAAAGGAACTGAATTTTTGGAATTATCTTCTAATATCAAAAAGACTAAGCAAATAGTATTACATTAAACAGTAAACTGTGGTTCTATAAAGTACAACTATGGTTTCATTGTGTACAGGTTGGCCAATTGTATCTTTTATTTGATTATTCATTTCCAATGATAAAGAAAATGAAGAATGGCTGGCTCCTCAGTCTAAAGTTAACTAAATCTAATTGACCAAATCTCTTACAAAATACATACAAGATTGCAGTATTAGGAGAAATCTTTTTACCCTTTTCTTCTCTTTGGACTCAGAATGAAATCATCATCATCGTCGCTGCTATCAGATTTTAGTCGTTTCTTCGCCTTTACATCACCGTTCTTTGATACTAATTGTTGCTTCTTTGAACTCTCAGCTTTGTTTAACAATGGCCGTGGAGGAGGAGATTTAATAGGAATCCCCATGCGGATTTGCTTTTGCTTTCTCTGTTTTTTCTCGAATGCCTTCTTTGATCTCTCAGGTGACAACAGACCATGCTCCATCAACCTGCATGTACATGCCTTAGTCGTATTTTAACTCCATTAAGAAAATGGAAGGCGCAACAACAACAACAAACTCAGTGTATTCCCACAATTGGAGTTTGGGGGTAGTGTGTACGCAGACCTTACCCCTACCTTTAAGAAGGCAGAGAGGTTGTTTCCGGTAGACTCTCGGCTCGGGAAAGATAAAGGGAGGGGGCAATGACAAGCAAACTAATCAGAAAACCAAGCGAAAACACATGCTAATTTAAGCAGTAAAACAACGTATAGATTTATGTACCAAAAAACATATAAAATAATAATTCCTTATCCTTGAGAAAATATCGTATCCTGTAACTCCGATATGCCAAGGTCTGATAATAAACACATGATCAATGAACAAACTGTTCTTTTTTTCCGTGTGAAAACTCAAGGTCAGCTAAGAATTAATGGTGAGAATAGAGGCACACTGGCTATACAATCCCCTTCTGTTTCTTTACTCGTGCTAACCTGGTTTTGTCAGAAATTTCTCAAACTTCTATGCATTTTTCTGAGACCACAATCACACATACAAAGTTGACGTAAATGCTATCACGATAATTACTTGGTAAGAAGAACGCCCAACCCCTTCTTTTCTTGCCCAACCCCTTCTTTTCTTTTTATGATAAGAAGACCTATGCTCAACATGATCCTAAGTAGAATAATAGCAGTTAATAGGATGTAGGTAGACACTTATATATTGAAAGAAGGATTTAAAGGATGACAAATGCCTTTCCTCATTCATGATTCCAGTGTAATTATAGGATGTTTGCAGCCAATTGCTACTGTGATTAACAGTAGCAATTAGAGAACCAAGTAGAAGAGCTGATACCAAGTCCTAGGATCAGGGATTTTAAAATAAAGTACACTGAAGATCCACAGAACGCGGAATACCATGTATTAACGATCGGTTAAAATAAGGGAATAACCAATTACAAGATGCTCTTACAAAGACAAGCATATAGATGTTGATCCGTCTTGTGGTTAATACGATTGGACCTAAAGATAGACTTAAGAAGTGGACAATCAGCATGCTGTATATGGATTGTTGAAATTTTGTTGCTTTCAGTTACTGCAGTAACTTTTTTAGCATAATAAGTTACTTAGTTTTATGATAAATCTACTTTTTTGAATTTAAATTTCAGTTAGATTTTTTAGGTTTGTTAGAGATATTTTAGTTTTTTTGAATTCTTGTTATGCAGATTTTTCTGCAGATTATGTTCCTAATTGGCTATTTAAAGCCTTGTTATGCTTAATAAAATAATTGAGAGACATTTTCAATCTTTACTTTTAATATTTTTGCTGCCCCATTATTTAAAAAACCAACATGGATACTCTGCCCAACAGCTCAAGAAGCATCGGACATATGTTCTTTGGGCGATTCCTCGTGTAAGATCCGGTATGACTACCTTTACTACAATGCTTTATAAGGTTCTTAAATGAAAGAAGACTTTTCGGGCATCCTTTAGAGATTTGGTCTACAGCAAAAGTTTATCAAGTGTATCATGTAAGGCACTTGACGCGTTTCTCTTTCTGAGGAACATACAGTATACGAAGTAAGGAATTGAATGGGATTGAAGAAGCTTAAAGAATGACCGAGTAATTTTTGCTTAGATATTAAAGTGCTACATTGAAATATGACGGAATACAGTATAATACTTGGAGGCAGGGCCATGTATATTATGACCAGCTTGTTTTCTCTTTCAGTCAAAAGTTAGCCTAAGCAAAATGTGTAAAACAAAAAATGATAGCTTTCCCAACTAACAAATGCCCACTTTACTCGTTTAGTCTCTCGATCCATATGAGATTGAGAGTTTTAATCCACAAGCGTGTTTCTTCTCAGGAGCCTAAAAAAACACATGATTGAGAAGATACATAGGCTGCAATAAAAAAAAAATATACTCTAGTTGTTAATCTAAACAGAGCTAAATACCAGTGACTTGAAAACATAAACAAATATCGAACCGGGCAGAATTTGAGAGCTAAATCAAGTGCAAACCCACGAGTGCCTCATTCAGTAAACAAACACTAGATGTTTCTTTCACTTCACTTATTGGTTGATAAAGAATGTCATGCTAATCGTCTCTACCTTACGATCATAACGTGCATATGTGCCTTTTTCACCTGTGTATAAACCATATCAGTTTATTACTCTGCTTACTAACTTGCCCAAATCTTAATTTATTCTCCTAGAGAAGTACCTAACAAAGTTCACAAATTTGATGCATACCCAGCAGTAGATGATGGTGGAAAATGGTGTTAGATCCAATTGCACACATTAAATGGATCTTGACCTTATTTATTGAGGGGCAATATAAGCACCAACAATCATTTCTAACTCGTAGCACAATTGGGGGGGAAAAAAAAGATACCCGATCGCCAGAGTTAAAAACACTTTAGTGAAATGAAAACTTAACAGACCTCCAGAAGAAGAAATTTAGTAACATGTGAGTTTTGAGTATGTGTCATGACTTCTTAGGATATAGTCCGAGGATTGTCATTGAAGATTCTCTTTGTTTTATGTCTGATAGGTATAGGTGAATGTATATCCAGTTTATTAGAAGTTATTACGTCCCGTTCATTATACTTATTTACGTGTAAATTAGGTTTTTCCTATCAATAAAATAATAGGAGCCTCTTGCAGAAATGCAGGGTAAGGCTGCGTACGATAGACCCTTGTGGTCCGGTCCTTCCCCGGACCCCGCGCATAGCGAGAGCTTAGTGCACCGGGCTGCCCTTTCTGCTTATCAATAAAATGATAAGTAGGAAAAGTAAAGCAATCTTTGACCATATCTTATGGAAAACATGAGATTTGACTTAAATTTAAACATAACATCAATGTTAAGATATTAATGTTAAATCCACCTGTTAGATACACAATTAATGTGGCAGCATATGCTGAGGTCTAAGACTCAGAATATTGTTTAAAAAGTACGAGTTGATGTAACACCCACCCCAACCCCTCGTTTTGGCTATTTGAGTTGCGGTAGGCAGCATTCTGATATGAGAGAGGTAACCAATTGATTCCTATACAAGTGTACTACATATAACTTATACACGTCAGGTCCCTAGACAAGTTTTTGTTCCTTATAAAAGTAAACGATCCATAGACAATTGTCAAGAAAACTCACCAGAACTCTGCCATTTCACTTGAAGGTATCTGCTTTGACAACGATTCATAGAATAACCTCAATGGTTCACGCTGTTGAAAAAAATACACAAAATTAACATAATGAAACAATGAACATATCATGAAGAAAATAACGAACAAACCAATCTTTCACCTCTTCAGGAACATCATACTTCTGGCCAGCCAAGGAATAAACTTTCTTCACTCGAGTTTTGGTTTGCGTTTTTGTGACAGTCTTGGATGAACTTGAGGTTGTTTTTCCTTTCACCTTTACTTGGACAATAAGGATTCAAAGAACTAATCAAGGCCATAATCATCAAATCAGAATAAGCTTTGGTCATCAATTTCTATACAGCTAAGTAATTGTAAGAGTAGGTGGGGTGGGATGATAAAACTCAAAGAAACAAATGAGGTAGAGATCTCATTCTTATGTTCTCAATTATCGGTTTCAAGCTAATTGGTGTGGAGAAAACACTTAATTCATGGTCATTCACATAATACCTTTCTTAAGTTACACATTCGTATGAATTTAACCCTACTCACACAAGACACACTAGCATTTCAGCATGAAAAACAAATCAACAAGAAATCTCACACACCCAAATCAAAATAGTAAAGAAACCAAACAACAAAGAGAGGAAAAGAGGAATCTTTTTAACTACTCAAAAAATGGGGTACCTCAATTTTTCAAGAAAATCATATTAATTAATTGATTTGAAAAAAAGCAAGGATCTTTAGCAGATGGGGTACCTCAATTTTTCAAGAAAATCAAAATTTGAGCATAAAAAGATGATCTTTTACCTCAAATTCAAGAATATCAATATTTGAGGCATAAAAAGATTATCATTTGCAGATGTTACTTCAATATTAGAACTAAATGCATCTCAAATATAACAAAAATTCACATAGAACATTCATATTAATTGATTGATTTAAAAAAAAAAAAAGGAAGGATCTTTTTGCAGATGGGTACCTCAGTTTTGACAGAAATGGCAGATTTACCCTTTAAATCAGCAGATTGCTTAGATGAGATCTGAATAACTTTCTTCTTGATAATAGATGAATCAAATTTGGGTTTTGATGATGACCCAACTTGATTACTACTACTGGGTTTCACTTTTACAAAACTAGATTTACTCTCTGTAGCCATATTTATTGCATGAAAATAAAATAAAAAATTCTTGGTTTTGATCTGATAATAAGTCCCTTATCTTTGCTGGTTTTCCTCAGTGGTTTATTGACATCAGGATTTGTTAACTGTAAATTCTTTGTGAGTAAAATTGCTAAAAATAGATTTAACAGTGAGATAAAGAAAGTGAAATGGGAAAAGTGGTGATTTTGGTAGGTAGGTTTTAACTGCTTTTAACCTCGTCAACAACGCCCAACTGTTACTAAAAATAAAAAAATAAAAAATAAAAAATAAAAAATAAAAAATAAAAAGGAAAAAAGCGTCGACAGCAGGATTCGAACCTGCGCAGGCAAAGCCCAACAGATTTCGAGTCTGTCTCCTTAACCACTCGGACATATCGACAGGTTATTAATTACTTGTCACCTAGTTTAATTATTGTTAATTTATGTATGTGGGGTTTTAACCATACTTTTGCTTTCATATCAAACCAATTCTTATTTCTCGAGCAGTTTCAACTTATTGTATGTTAATTTTACGTATATATCACCTAATAAAATTATCGAGTAAAATATTATCGGATGACATTACTTTAGCCGATATATATCCATCATTGTAGAGGCGGAGCCAAGATTTAAAGCTTATGGGTTCGGGATTCTAATCGTTAAAAGTTACTGGGTTCTAAATTAATGATTTATACATATTCAATGCATTTTGTAAGACAAACACAGGGTTCGAATTAAAGTCACTAGGTACGGCCGAACCCAGTCCCAACACTCTACCTCCGCCACTGCATCACTGCAATGGATAATACTCGACAAATCGTCCATGCATCTCAAAGCCTATATTGCCCCCACCATTCCACTTTCACGATTTTGGCTGCTCACATTTCGCTCTTACATCACTATATTTTAGTAATTTAATTTAGAGTGAATGTGTCACTTATATGATTTATCTTTAACAAGTTTTAGAATGCAACTATCCGAAACAGCCTCTCTACTTGCCTAATTTAGGCTGCTCACATTTCGCTCTTACATCACTATATTTTAGTAGTTTAATTTAGAGTGAATGTGTCACTTATATGATTTATCTTTAACAAGTTTTAGAATGCAACTATCCGAAACAGCCTCTCTACTTGCCTGATTTAGGCTGCTCACATTTCGCTCTTACATCACTATATTTTAGTAGTTTAATTTAGAGTGAATGTGTCACTTATATGATTTATCTTTAACAAGTTTTAGAATGCAACTATCTGAAACAGCCTCTCTGCCTGCTCAGGGTAGGATAAGGTCTGCGTAGACACTATCTCCCTAGATCCCACTAATGGGATTACACTGGGTTTGTTGTTGTTGTAAGTTTTAGAATGCAATATTAAAACAGTGACAATTTAACCTTCATTCACTCAATGTTTTGGTTCTTTTTCAACAGAACAAGATCCACATACCTGGACTTGGACAAGCAAAAGACATACATACATACAATACAAAAAGGACAGATTTTGGAAGGACAGATTTTGGAAGTTAACAAGAACGAAACTATGTTCGCACCATCAATTGAATTGGCTCGTTTCTGATTAGCTAGGCTGTTTCGTGTTACATAGCTTTCATCTTACAATTGGAAACAACCTCTCTATCTCCACAAGGTAGGGGTAAGGTCTGCGTACACACAACCCTCCGCAGACCCCGCTTGTGGGATTACATTGGGTACGTTGTTGTTGTTGTAGTTTTCATCTTACAATCAAGAAAACATCTCCTTAGCTCTTTAAAAGAACAGCCATAAAAATGAAACCTCTTCTACACAAATCTATTTCAGGAAAGGCATTAAACATTACAGTCAATCTTGCAAAGCTAAGTCTAGCAACTAAGCTGCAAGCTGCTCAATGAGGTTGAATCCTCCATTGAATCATTTAGTTGTCTTCCAAAAATCTTAGTCGAAAGACTTGGCCGGATACTTGCAACTCTACATTTGTGTAGATGGCAATGATATCTTCTCACCAATCAGTTTACAACCTGGCTTACTGTGGTTTTCCACTTAGTAGCCAGATGTGTAAAGTGCGACGAACTCAGAAACTGTAGAGAAATGTTCCCTTGTAACAAGAAAAGTCAGGAGGCAGCATTCCTGTAACCACCAGCAGACAGTCAGGATAAACTTTTTGCGGTATATGCTCAACTATTTCTCCTTGCGATTGGAAGGTAAGAGCAAAGCATATTACACAAAACCAAAATCAAGACACATTGAGAAGTAAAACAGAACTGGATAAAATGTAACTTGTTTTTTCTTTCACATTTGTTTTTCTAGACACTTGTAGACATATTATAACTTCAAAAGAGGCTCATCTTCCATTTTCAGAAGAAAAAAAACACAACAATGTAATAATGAAATTAGGTGCAATTGCTGTGCTGAGCTTCAATACATGATCTGTAAGATATGAAGAAATGAGGTAACTTTCTTAATACGTTGTGCTCTGATGTTACTAAGGCGTAAGGCATGGGTTCTCTTGCTGTCTACGTGCTGGTGAACAAGAATCTTTACATGACTTAATTTTTTCTATATCCCTCATCTTCATTTCATCTGGCGCCAATTGCTAGAGTAGTGTACAGTAACAGGGGAAGATAATCTTATATAGGAGGAAGTTTAATGGCTGATTCAGGTGACAAGGAAGGAGCAGTTTGATCTAAGCTATTCAAAATTCACCTCCTTTCGTGCTTTGAATGTTATGTGGCAGGAGAGGAATCACAGCATTCCAATGAAAAGGCAGAAGCAAGGAGGTTCTTCTGCTTGATATCGGGTAAAGAAAGTTCTAGTAATGTACTAGTTTTACTATCTTGGAAACTGTTTCCAAATCCAAAAGTGAGTCAGCATGAGTTGTAATATATCGCTTAGCTTCGAACTAGTAAATGTCTTCAGGTGTATGCACTTAATGTGTAATTCCCTAGCTATGAGTGCAATAAATTATTAGTTTGCATAAAAAGACTTGAAAATGAAATAGAATAAACAAAATGAGGCTTAGAATATGTTATGGTAGCTATTTGAACACTCACGGCGAAAAGAGAGGTGGAGGGTTATGGCTCTCTACAATGACAAGCAGACATTTGAAACAAAAGCTACAACATAGATGTAAGTAATAAAATTTCAAAAAAAATTGAAATGGACTGTTATTTGACTTATCTCTATTATAAAAACTGAAAGTTCCAAAATAAAAGAAAGTTAAGAAGTTCCTTTGTAAAATCATATCATACTGCTCAAAAGAATGCTAGTAATAAGCTCCTAGCGAAAAATAAAGAACATTATTCGCTCACCTTGTTTCATTGTACAAGTGCAGTCCGTATATGTCGACATTGTCACACACTTGCAGTAATAGTGCCCCAGTAACTCTTTACCAATGGCTCTGTGTTGAATTGCCAAACCATGATTCTTGAGCAGTGCGTCGGAAAGCCTTCCATTTGGCTTTCATCTTCCACAACTTGTTCAATAAATGAGCTCACCTGTAATTGCAGTAATGCCCTCACTTGTTCATCTTTACAGTTAAAAGGTGCTAGTAAATAATTATGTTATTTTTGATGTATAGGGGTGTGTCAACTAGTAAAAAAATCGTTTGCAAAGCCGTTAGAGTTACAGTAGTAGCGGCAAAACTCACTTGGAAGCCACCTTTAACTATATCGAGCTGCCTAATGGGCTCTAGTGTTGGCCGATTCCACCTCTTTGGATCCCAAAGTACTGTACTATTGAATGCAAACCCTGATATTTCAGCGTAGAATCTCTGGAATCTTTTTGCCGTTCCATCTGTATGCCAACCTATAACCTGAGAGCCATTACAGATTGGACCCTGCAAGATAACTTTCCTATTATTTTCAGCTAGTCTTGCCACAACCCATGTCCCGAACTGGCTGCATACAACAATTCTCTATCAAGAAAGCTGATCGACAGAATGATAAAGTCAGAAAATAAGTAGACCAAATTTCATCATCTTGCCAACAAGATCCAGTCTAAATATAAGAAATATAAGTTGGGGGGGGGGGGGGTTTAGGGATGGAAATGGGGCGGTGGGGTGCGGGCGGGGCGGGTTGAGATCATGCGGGTGCGATGCGGGTGCTGACAAATGCGGTGCGGGGCGGGTTTGAACATCTTTTAAAAACTAAAAGCGGTTGCGGGGCAGTTGCGGGTTGATAATCATGTGAGATGGGTTCATCAGTTTCCAACAAATTTGTCACTGAGTGTACATAGTGTTGAAGCATTTATTCTTATACTTTTCCCTAAAATGAGATTTCGGATGTTTAATATTTAAGGATGTGGTTATTATTTATTGGAAAAATCTAATTCTTCTTTTCCTCTGTTTTCCCCTTCTTCTCTTTTGAAATAAATCTGCTCATGTAAAATAAAATAACAATGAGAAGAAACAAAGTTATTAGTCCTGTAATCCAGTAGCCAACTCTGGAAGTATGAATTTTTGTAAGACTAAATACTAATATATAATCAACAGAGCCAGAAGCAAATTTCAACGGGTATTTAACAAATGAGAAGATTTGTTAACTGACTTAAATTAACAAACTTCAGTACATTAAAGTTACATAGAACAAAAAATTTTAGACGAACTTGCTCAGAAAGAGCGTATAGAAGAAAACTGGAATTTTTTCGTTAGGTGGGGCGGGGCGGGGCGGGTTGAAAACAAAAAAATTGCTACGCGGTGCGGGTTGAAACTTTGCGGGTTAAACTTAAACCCGCACCGAACCGCCCGCGCCCCACTGCCATTCTCTGGGGGGGGGGGGGGGGGGGGGTTGTCTCAAACAGCAACATTTATAAAATAAAAAGAGAATCCACCATAGGACGTGTATTTGCTAAATGTATAATTGTATGACGGCTCAGAGTCAATTAGGTGCATTTCTAATACTTTCTTTTTAGTGCTTGTCTTCATATATATACACACCAGCTTTCAGCTGACAGGGAATTCATGGATCTTTTGTTCTAGAAACGTTTATAATATAAAACGGTGCAAAACTAGCAGGGAAGCTATAGAGCAGAGTAGTAATTGAGCAACTAAATGTTCTTTTACTTGATAAATTTAACATAATTGTATATCTCCAATTCCTGAACTTGTATGACTGTTGTTTATATTTTTCTACAGCTGTATAAATATTACTACTACAACAACAACGACCCAGTGAAATCCCACTAGTGGGGTCTGGGGAGG